TGTTTGTGTGTTGACTAGCGGTTATTGGATAGAGCAATCCATAAAGGAAATCTTTAATTAAAAGGTATATATTGAATCAAAATATTATTTATTTTACCAATATTTCAGTTGGCTGAACTCCAACCTATATAAAATGTTATAATACCTTGATAAAGGTTGGCGTTCAGCCAACTGAAATATTGGTAAAAATATTATATTTTAATTCAATATATGCCTTTTTAATTAAATATACTTTTATCCAGTGTAATTTATTTAATCTCTTGTCCTTCCTTATTGTTTATAAATACCTTTAAGTAATAAAGGATCTTCGTAATTATCGGCCTTCTATCTCTTCTATGAATCTATTATTTTTCCCAACAAACATTGACACAGAAAGAGAGAGATTGAGATTGAAACTGTTTTATTACAACGTACATATAATATTATATATGGTTAAATACAATATAAATATAATAAATAAATAATATAATGATAAATATATGAATAAATAGATAAAATTATTTATAATATTTGATAAATATACATATATATAAAAATAAATACAAGGTCTTAATTGGTGGCGCCCACCGCGGTAATGACTCCGCCACCGATGGACTGCGAGAGTTCACAGAGTGGGCAGGTCGATGAAGTAGCTGGTGTTACCCACCTCAAGACCAAGATGGTACTTGTAGATGATAGCCTTCGCTATAATAGACTGAGAGTGTGAAAATTGTTGCTATATATAAAAATTATAATTTTCATTTATATTCACCACACGAATAATCCCATATGGAGAAAGATATGTCGCAAGGATATCGACCTTCAAATAAAAAAAGGAAGGAAGGACATTTCTCTCGTCAATATAAGATGCAAATTTCTGTCATCTCTTCACCATCTCATCAATCTAGAAAACATGGGTCGAAGACCATTCACAACATCAGCTTTGGCCATTCCTAAGGCCCACTTGGAAACCGAGGTTCCTATGACCAACCTCGACAATCTAACTTTGATATCATGGAATCGGCATGAGAATAAAGGAAACTTAAAAATTTTCCAAATATATTTTTGTCAGGTAAAGTGACTAGACATATTTTATAATACGTTATAATGCGGCTATGCTTATAGAACGAGGTTTAACAAATTTTACCGCAAATATTTCTTTTTACAGAACGAGTAATTTTCATTATTTAAGGAGAAATAACAACTATTCCTATCCTTAGGGATGAAGTATAAAAGGATGAATTGTGAAAAGTAATGATGAACGGAAAAGTAAAAGTGTCCATTACTTCATAAAGTCTTCATTACTTTTCACAATTCATCCTTTCATACTTCATCCCTAAGGATAGGAATAATCGTTATTTCTCCTTAATTATTAAAAATTACTATTTTTCGTTTAGTAAAAAGAAATATTTGGGGTAAATTTTGTTGAACGTCGTTCTATAGACATATTTTATGGTCGAAATATAGATGGAAATCTCACTGCTAGAAAATATTTTGAAAATATAATTGGCCTAGGCGCTTGTGTGTGCGTGTGTGAATGAGTCAATATTGACAGCTGCACTTTATAATTCTGCTCTCAAATACTTCTAAATATAAATACTGATGTATTTTAAATGGAAATCATATCTATTTTTATTCTGTTGGCTGTAAAATTTACATTCCTTCATGCCCAATGAAACAGTAAAATAAAAAGAGTAAAAGCTTACAATAACCGTTTAGCAGAGTGCTATCAAAAAAATATTGTTTTTTAAACTATTGGACACCCGAAAAAGTCAAAGATTGTAACTATATTCTATTAGAGTAGATCATCTACAATGTCTGACAGGGAATGCTGTATCAATATTTATTACAAGTTGTTTATTATACGTGTTACCATTCTGTCAGCTCCAGCAGGATAAGAGGCTTGTGTCCCCCTCTGGTAGCGACAAACTAGAATATTTATATAGTCTGCTTTTTTATTCTATATTTGCTTGATTTTCTACCAAAACGTGAATAAGTAAGCATTATATTTTCAGTTTAGTGTGGTTGCATTGAGGAAAGAAGTAAAATTTTATATACAACTATGTAGGTTTTATTATCAGAACCAACACCTCTTTTTTACGACACGCTGTGAATGTTTTCATTTTGTCCATTCTATTCAAACATTTTAGAATCGTTTCTCAGCCTAAGGTTATATTTGTGAATCGTGTTATGATTTTAATCTTTTCGTATCCTAGGGATCTGACGCTTGATTTATTTATTCCGTAATAGAGAATTTTAGCGAAGTGATAAGAATTCGATTAAAGTGCATTCTATATATATATTGTGGTGGTGTCATGTCCACTCAAAGGGGGCGGGGGTGCTATCGCCCCGATTGCCTTGTGAACGTTGTGACCCACTGTACTTATTACATCCCTGTCTTGAGCTCGATGTACCATCTTGGCGATCGTTAAGCCAGTGAGTTCCTTTAATTGGTCTACGAAGTATGTCGTTTAGGGTTTAGGTATACGTCTCCCAGACGTCTTTCCGGTCAGTATGGTGCAATCCACTTTCCTGAGTCGCGCGATGTGACAGAAGAATCTCAAACAATTCCGTTGTACAGCCGCAGAAGTCGGTCATCTTCCGAAATCGATCCTATATATATATAGTGAGAATTCCCGATAGATATTTTATATATTTTGGACATTTTTAAAAATTTATAAAGCTATATGTTATCAGAAAAACCTTCAAAGAGCGCTCATCTTTGTGGATGCACCATTATTTGATGAAATGACAAGGAGAAAAATGTCCAATATCGTGGTATATTGAGTCTTTAACAATTGCAAGTTTGAAATCCAAGTTTGCCTCGGTTAATTAAGGTTTAGTTACAACACATAGAATACAGAATCTTCTGAGACAATCAGAAGTATTTTAACCCTATTCTTATTTTAAATATATATAATTAAAAACTATTACTACAGATATCATACCGCTATGAATAAATGTATATTCATTGCAGTATAGAGTTGGTAGAAATATATTTTAATTCTCTATATTTAGAAGGGGGGGTCGGTGGAAGGATGGTCTAAACCGTTGGTTTTCGACTACTACGACCCGGGTTCGATTCCCGCATTGGGCACTTTTTCTGAATATAAAAAAAAGGTTTCAATGGCCCCCAATTATTACAAAAGCCCAACTCCACTAGCGAGTGCAAGTAGCCAAACGGGGCTCTGGCACATTTGTAAGTGCAAAGTCGAACTTCTTTTCACATGTGTAGACATTTGGTGCACTTACAGCAAAATCAGTCGCTAACTACCCACCATGATTATTATGGCCTGTACCGTGTGTACTAGGGATTAGCAAAAAAAAAAAGAAGTATCGCTAAGTACTTCTAAGTTTCAGCGATAGAGGGCACTAAGTTGTTGAGGAAATTTATATACGAGTAAGATCTACATTAATACTAGCTGAATGACACCGGGCTTTACCCTAATACATTTTTAACTGAGAGCATATATAGAAAAAAATGTTTAAAAAACAGTCTATTAAAGCATTGGGTGCCTCTACCGTCAAAATAAACGTTAAAACCAGACGCCATCTATTGACCGTCGCCACAAAATAACGGCTTCAGGTCGGTGACAAAGCCACAACACCAGCTTTGGTAAACTGAGAAGCGTCCACTTGGAGACCATGGTTTCGGGCTAAACACCTCTTTGGCGAATTGTGAAATTATATTAGATCCCTTGTGCATCTCATTAAAAGATATAAAAAAACATCGGTAGACGAGTGGGTAACACCCTCGATTCCCGACAGTCATGAACCGGGATTGAATTCCGCGTTAACATTTTGTTTCAATATGTGAATAACCTTTACCTATTATTTATTGTTGCAAATATAATAAACTAGGTTTTTATTTTTGAGCGGTACCTAAAGTGATTTTGGAACCGAATAAATAGATAAACATATGTAAAAACAAAATTGCCTCTGTTATCTTTAAAAAAAAATAATAATAAAATTAAAAAATAAAAATGGTGACATTAGATATTCCACTTCTTAAAAATATGTCCATGAGTGTATATTTGAATATTTTCTTTTAGTAAATAAGAAATAAATATTTAGGAGACTTACCCATGAATACGAGAGAGAAAAACGGAGATCTGAAATTGACTAGGCAGCGCTAAATTGAATGCTATTGGGAAATTTGTAAGTTATTATGTAAATATAGAAGACATAGGCTGCCTGGCCGACATTCATTTTTCTGTATGCAGTAAATTACTTATTTTCTATAGTTTAAATTGGCTTTGACTATATTGAAGCGTATTTTTATTTATGTTATTTACATAATTTTAAGTTAGGCTTTTATCATAATTATTTGCATAGATTATTTTGAATTATTATTGATATATAAATTTGCATATCTTCAACTTTTTGTGGTATACCGTTTGTTGTTAATAAAGTTTCTTTCTACTTTTACCTCTCCTTGCGATTATTTCTTATAACACGGAAGTTTTGAACGGTATATTTATATATAAACTAACTTGTTAAACATATGAATTTAGGAGAAAACAATAGAAATAAAAATTAAAATATAAGGATCAGGTGTTGATATTAAAATTAATGAAGGAATGTCCTGACCACGAGCACATGTGCTTTTTAGATAGAAGAGCGCCATCTAGTGAAACAAAAATAACCTAAACGTTTATTTAGCCTGTTCCCTGATATTTGGCCAACCCAATTTCTTGACAAATCAAGAAAAGCCATCCACGACCGCTTTTCGCGCTGTTGGCGCTCGTCAAAGCACATGTGCTTTTGGTCAGGATATGCCTTCATTATTTTTAATATGAATTTATATAAGGTTGTCCCAAAAATTCGTGTTTTTCTTTAAACATTGTTTTTCTTAAAGCTATACAACCAGTTTAACCGCATAAGTTTCTTTTTATTTATGAAAAATCATTTTTAATTACAAAGAGAAATAATTTAATATTTCTAACTTTTGGATGACGTATGAAAAAGGTTGAATATATGAAGAGTGAGTTTAAATATTAGTTACGAACGGAGAAATATCGTCCAGGATAGCCTAGTGGACATGGCACCTGCCCGGTAAAGAGAAGGTTGTGGGTTCGTTTCCCGCTCCTGGACACTTTTATTTTTCCGTTCGCCATTACTCCTCATATTTTCACCCTCCATACGTCATCCATTCATATATAGACCATCACTCTTCATATATTCAACCTTTTTCATACGTCATCCAAAAGTTAGAAATATTAAATTATTTCTCTTTGAAATTAAAAATGATTTTTCATAAATAAAAATAAACTTATGCGGTTAAACTGGTTGTATAACTTTATAATTATACGCCGCAGTCATTTATAAGTATTGTTTTTCTTATTGGCGAATAATATTATTATGGCGAACACATAATAATACATAATAATACATAATACAATTACCTTATACATAATACAAAGACATTATGCATAACGACGAATAATATTATAGCGAATAATATTGGTATTTCAATTTATTTCAAGTTTTTACGAACCTTTTGGAATACCTTGTATATATGACCCGATAGAATCCTATTTAGCCCTCAAACATTGATGCAGCAAAGCTATCACAATTTCTGTCAAAACATAAATCAATCTAGTTTTTGATCAATTCCAATTTTTCCTGATTAAGATTGTTTAAATACTCATTCCATATAATATTCTATATTAATTTAAAACTCAGCCAGATTTGTCACATATAGAGTTAAATATTAAAGCATAATTTAAATACATATGTTCAACTTTATATGGAGAGATATAGAAGGGTAAATGTTAGAATGTTCAATATATTCTAATATATTTATAATAATAATATCTATCCTTTAGTAATACATCCAGTCATTATAGAAACACCATTAAAGACACCATCTATACAAATTCCTTTAATATATTCCGGATGTAATTAGAATTCTCCCCAGCAGATGGCGCTATTTTTGACGTTCCTATTAAATAATCACACGGAGATGTCGTCTGAATAATTTAGTGAAATTGTCCAATTGGTCGCTTGTGTCTCTATGACATTTCTCCCGTGCAGTATGTCACCTGTCTCTCGAATATTTTCTCTCACTTCTTCCTTACTTGATATTACATGTAATCTAATCACGACCTATGTACAAATAAATATTTCAAAGCATAACCCAAACTCCCTAATAGTTGAACACATCAATGAAACTGACAATACTCCAGAATTATATAGTTCCAGAATCCTCCATAGAAATGCCACAATCAAAACCCAAAGACTCATCCTTGAAGCAATAGAAACCATCAAGAATCCAAATACAATAAACAAAAGTATACAACTACAATATATCCCCCTTCTATCTTAATACTTTCTCTTTATTGGGAATATATTGATATTTATATCTATAACAATTATCTGTCCATTTCTCTATTCACGATTATATTTGATGTTTGAGCAAAAAGAAACACATTGACAAAATCGATAGCACTCTACTTCCTAAATCTGTGTAATTTTTTAAGAAGATAATATATATAATAATTCGGTGAATTCTCGACCGATTTCATAACTTCTTTTTTATGATGTTATTGAATCGAGTCATCCCTGTACTGATGAGGATCATAGCCTGACACCTTGTTATATACACATATTATCTTTCTATCTTAAATTTCTGAAACTTATACTTTATGTGGCCCATTCCTTATGACCACAAGTAAAGTGTTCACTGGGATTATAAACAAAATATATGGTTTAAATCCATGATTAAAGAAAGAGATGTCTCTTTTGGTACACACGATTGTTATTTTATGAAAAAAGTTGTACGATAAGGAGAAGCCTTTTTCATAATTTATGCACCTTATCCCAGTACAATATCACATTTGTACTATTTTTTCACGATTATTATTAGTAACTTTGTTTATAATTATAATAATCAACATTATTGTAGATACACCACAACCTGGGAGTCATGCACTCTTAAAATATCAAGAAATATTTCTCTAAACAAAACAATGAGGAAGGTCTCACTCTGAGGTTTGGGCTTATGAAATGTTTATAGATCCCTGGTCTGGCCGACATGACAGAGAATAGATGGACATATACTCATGGACACAACTTCAGCCAGTTTTAGAATGTATATCGGGATTCAAACAATAACTCTGAAAGATATTTGATACACAGTAAACTTTATTGAAGAAACATGAGATAACCAAGTGTGAACAAAATTGCCTCTTTTTTCTTTTTCCTTAAAAAAAAAAGACGGCTATCGACAACAAAGTCTTTACACTTCCTTAAATTTTGTTCATGATGTATATAGAAAAAAAGGTCGTAGATTTAAATCTCTATAAATAGGAAAAATGTAGATATGGAAAGTAGAGGATTGTCTACCCAATAATTACATCGCAATCATTAAACAAACTAGGATAGATAAATGGTAAATTAGAACAGGATCTGTACTTTAGAATTCTGTGATTTTACTTCTCTCTGACATCCTAACTTTTGTATTTTATCTGATTAGCGCTGATAACCTACAAACAAGTACTTGGAATATTTGTTTATACGTAACAATAACGCGTCATCTATATATAACAAATGAAGACATTAAGACGCGATGTTTCTTTTCACAAATAATACAAACATATACTGTCCTTACTGAAATATAACAATAATTGGGAGGGTTTGGTTCATTAGTTAGTGAACCATCCCAGTGGTTTCGCCAATTTTTAATCTACCAGACCTCTTCTTTAGAATTCTAATACTGTATTGGATCATTCTGCTTTTATATGCTAAACTGAAGGGTGGGGGGGGAGGGGAGGAGAAGTCAGACCACACCTCTCTGCGGTCCCCCGTGGACCCTTGGAATATTCAAACAAACTGTGGTTCGTTTCCAAGGTGACTAACGTGGCAACGGCACCTATTTTGCAATGAAACACCCAAGGTGTGGACATTGCTGTGATAGAGATGCACGGAGACATCTGAGGCTCTTCATTGGACACGACAACAACAACTGAAGAGTGGAGTCTTAGAAATATTTTTATATCTCAGTAGTTAAATATTGAAATCTATAAATATTAAGTTAAGCACGTACAGAACTACATCAAGTTAATTTATGCACCTTATCCTAGTACAATATTACATTTGTACTATTTTTTCACACTATAAATATTAGTTCATTAAAACCTTTCATAAACCTGTGTATGTTTAATATGTATCGTGATAGCTATGAAAAATATGTAGTTATCATTAGAGATGATCAAATTTATACCAGGTCAAATGTTCCCCCAGATGGCCAATATTTAAAAGAAGTCATTTAAAGTTTTTATAGGTTGAGTCACATTGGTTAAATCAATAGGATTCAATAGCAGAATTCTAAACGTCAGATCCCGGGGCTTGTAACAATACCACAATGGCATTGTGTTGGCACGTTTTACATTGCAGCTGTTCCATCAGAGCCTCGTTCCGCATCTGTGGCTTCCTACTATAGTACCTACTCTCTCCTACACTTTCATTTCTATGTGGTACCTGCCCTCCTTCAGATTGCACTACTATATGTGGTAGCTGATCAACACTGAACTCCCACTTCTATGTGGTACCTACACTTGCACTTCTATGGCACCTACACTCTTTCAGAACTACATTTAGAATTCTGTGTTGTTTCTAAAACACTTTCAAAACTACATTTACATATCTGTTTCGTATTTACTCTCTTTCAGAAATCCAATTCCAATTATATAGTACCTATACTCTTTTAAAACTAAACCTCTACGTCTATGTCTATGTGGTGCCTACTCTCTTTCAGAACTACACTTCCATTTCTGTGTTGTTTTCAAAACTCTTTCAAAGCTACATTTCCACTTCCGTGTGATATTTACTCTCTTTCAGAAATACACTTCCAATTATATAGTACCTACATTTTTTTTTTAAACTAAACTTCCACGTCTATATGTGGTACCTACTCTCTTTCATAACTACAAATCCACTTCTGTGTTGTTTCCAAAACTCCTTCAGAGCTACATTTGTATGTCTGTGTTGTTCCCAACACTTTTTCAGAACTACACTTGTATTTCTGTGTTGTTCCCAATACCTTTTCAGAACTAGACTTTTATTTTTGTGTTGTTCCCAAAACTCTTTCAGAGCTACATTTGTATCTCTGTGTTGTTCCCAACACTTTTTCAGAACTACACTTGTATTTCTGTGTTGTACCCAATACTTTTTCAGAACTAGACTTTTATTTCTGTGCTTTTCCCAAAATTCTTTCAGAACTACACTCGTATTTCTGTGTTGTTCCCAACACATTTTCAGAGCTACACTTGTATTTCTGTGTTGTTCCCAACACCATTTAAAAACTACACTTTCATTTCTGTGTTGTTCTCAACACCTTTTCAGAACTAGACTTTTTTTTCTGTGTTGTTCCCAAATTTTTCAGAACGAGACTTTAATTTTTGTGTTGTGTCCAACACACTTTCAGAACTACACTTTTATTTCTGAGTTGTTCCCAACGCCTTTTCAGAACTACACTTTTATTTCTGTGTTGTTCCCAACACATTTTCAGAACTACACTTGTATTTCTGTGTTGTTCCCAACACATTTCAGAACTACACTTGTATTTCTGTGTTGTTCCCAACACATTTTCAGAACTACACTTGTATTTCTGTGTTGTTCCCTACACATTTTCAGAACTACACTTGTATATCTGTGTTGTTCCCAACACATTTTCAGAACTACACTTGTATTTCTGTGTTGTTCCCAACACCTTTTCAGAACTACACTTGTATTTCTATGTTGTTTCCAACACTCTTTCAGAACTAAACTTTCATTTCTGTGTTGTTCCCAACACCTTTTCAGAACTACACTTGTATTTCTATGTTGTTTCCAACACTCTTTCAGAACTAAACTTTCATTTCTGTGTTGTTCCCAACACCTTTTCAGAACAAGACTTCCACAACGTAGGCTCCTACACACTCTAAGAGAACTACACTTGTATTCATAACATTTGTAAATAAAACACAACTTAGATCTATATAAAAATAAGACAACAATTCTAATACTTCGAAAGATTTCTCATGGAACCGGGTTGAACAATAGCAAATAATATTTGTTGAGTGTTAGAAACAGATTTAAATAAGCAGGTATTT